AATAATAATAATAATAATAATAATAATAATAATAATAATAATAATAAAAATATGCTCCTTGCCTTGCATCCAAATTAATTATTCCACCCACAATACAATTTAATTGGTGGGCACAGGTATGCTCATTTGCTTTGCAAAGCAATATTATTAAGCGTGGGTGTTTTTAGAGCTATGCTCCTGTTTAATAGAATATACTCTTTCATGTATGCTAATGCCAAGGAGTACACAATCATTCCAGTAATTATATGTTCCAGTAAAAGCAGTAATATCAAATAAAATGCTATCATACCTACTTTATGCCTTTGTCCTGTACGTATTCAATTATGTCTAAGTTGATGATCTGTCTGTGTGAAAAAAATTGGAAGCATATTTAAGTCTTTACAGAAACAGCTGCTACACATTTAATCACAGAAAGTTCAAAATATCTTACTCGCAATCTTACTGCAAAGTTTAAGTGGAAGTACTTTAAATACAAGATGACTTTGCGTGCCACTTGCCTTGGGGAACAAATAGTGTGCATAATGAATGGGAGTAGGAAGATGAAGTTTAGTGGTTACAAGTATGAAGACTGTCAACATAAGAAAAGAACAAAATATTGTACAGAAGGAATTGACTGAACTTAATCTTTCTAAGGAGAGGCTTTGAATCCTTTGTCTGGGAGTATTTCCATGCAGAAGTAAACATCTTTGAGATCATTTGCTTTTCCACATAGCAGCCCTGCTTGGATCCTCCACAAATGCAACTGCATTTCGTAAAAAAAGCATACAGACCAGCTGCAATTTTAATGAAATAGACTTTTGGTAAATTCAAATGCTAATACAATTATGTCCCAAATTCCTTAGAAGTCTTGGGTCTTAAGCACAACCTCCACCATGATGCTTTCTTCATTGTGATAAATTATAGCCTTCTACACTTCCCATCTGTTCTTCTCCAGAAAGTTTTTCTTCTGTCTTATTCCTGAAAACATTTGCATCTACACCCTTGCAAACCAAAAACGTTTCAGTCTTACAAAACCTTATCTTCTTCCCAGTGAAATTTTCTTTGGAGTATTTTAGATTGTAAAGCCAGCACTGAGCAGTTAATTTCAAACTTGTGGACAAAGATGGCTTTCAGTCATCTTGCTCTGGGAGAAAGTCACTACTTATTCCGTACTCTTCATACCAAAGCCACCAGGTAAGGATGAACCATTGCAACCCTTCCAGCATGCTTATCCCTTTTCTCTGGACAGGACAGTCAGAAGCACTCAAAATAAAGCTGGAGCAGGAACGCAGTCAATCCCTTTTCTCTGTTTCGTTGCTTGCATAACAGATAGGCTTGC